AAATTCTATATAAAATTTTCCCAAAAATCAACTATCCACTTGCGCATGTATTAGAGTGTCTTGGGATGTGTTTCAAATCCTAAGCTTGAAATGAACTTTTGGAAGGGCCTGCATTTGATAGGACCACACTTGCACCTTTCCACAAATTATTATGTTTTAGTAAGAGAGCGAGAAAGGCCAAAAAAACAGAAAGTACAAGTGCCCACATGCACATGGTCGAGAGGGATAGAGCAAGTGTCCTTAATGGGCAATCATATCTTCAAAAGATACATCGACGTCTCTCAAATTTGTCCTTTGCGGAGAGTAATCTCATGTCACACGGTGTTTTTGTAATATAATGAAACCACAATTTTAGAAAATTATATTTAAAATATTTATATGATTTTAAAATTTACTCATATTTTTTTCATCACCATAATCAATCTAAAAAAAATAGATTTTGATTTGTACCCTAGAGTTCGTGAAAATTAGTACCCTCTAACAATAATTTCATATTCCAGTTTTTTTTAGAAAAGTCAACATAATTTATGAGGGAAAAAACATGAATAACTATTACAAATTTAGCATAATTTTAAAATCTAATAAAAGTATTACTGAAAGACTAAACAATCAGTCATAAACTACTTTTGATGTGTAAAAATAATAATAATCATTTAATAATTTATTATAAAAATTTATAATATCTCATAAGCTAATTTTGAAAATGTAATTTGATGATATGATAATGTGATTTTCAATTTTTCAAATTTATTTACAATATGGTAATTAGTCATCAATGTAATTAGTAATAAACTAATTGTTGTTGTTAGGAAATTTTTTCAAAATACCCATAAGAGATTAACTATTTAACATCTCGCTCATTTGCAACCATTTCAATTCAAAGCCATGTGTTTTTTATGGGTATTTTGGAATTAAATCAAAAGATATAAGTAAAATGTTAAATTATTCATAGTTTTTTATAAATTTTCTAGCTATTATTATTAAGGAATTTTATCACAATAACCATAAAATATCAACTATTTAATAGTTTACATATGCCTTTTGATTTAATTTCAAAATATCCATCAAAGGCGCATGATTATGACATGGAATAGATGCAAAAAGATAAAACGTTAAATAGTTTACATGTTATTGGTAGTGTGATGAATTATTGTTGGTGTTGTTGTTGTTATTAAAATTCATTATTTTTATTTATATTTGAAATATTTATTATTGAAACC